ACCTCAGAGTGATGGAAATCCTGGAAGAAAGAAACTTTGACTTTGTAGTAACAAGGAAAGGGAATATTAGGCAAAGTTGAATGGTGACCTAGGCACGGGGAAGCAGATTTTTAAAAAGTGAGGGAAAAATAGGTCTTTATAAGATAATATAGATCATGATGTTTTAGAGATAATAACAAGATAATGTTAACTATCTGCTCCCTAGTACTCCAAAGAGGAAGAAAACAGAGAAATAGCCAAAGCAGCAAGAAGACTCGGGTGCAAGATAATATTTACAAAAGTTGGGATGAGAACAAAGCAAAGAAAGACACAAACCTGGAAGAACAATTTCGTTCGTTTATTTGGGAATAGTTTCTGAGTGGTTTCTTTACGCCAGGTACTTTGCTTTGTGCTAAGGAATAGCAACAAACAAGACACACTGCAGCTTACAGTCTGGCAGGGAATCAACATCAAGCAAGGTAACTAAAAGTGTGTTAACTCAGCCAATTACATGTAGACAACTAGACAACTTCCTCAACCAGACAAATGGCATCTGTGAAAAACCCACGGTGAACATCCCATTTTATGGGAAAAGACTGGTTGCTTTCTCCGCTTCCATTCAGCATTGTAGTAGAAGTTCTAGCCAGGACAGTTAGGCAAGAAAAAGAAATAAAAGGCATCCAGATTGGAAAGGAAATAATTCAACTATCTCTGTTTGCAGACAACATGGTTTCATATATATAAAATTCTAAGGAATCCCTTAAAACACTATTAGAACCAGTAAGTTCAGCAAGGTTACAGAAAATAAGGTCGATATATACAAATCATTTTTATTTCTATACACTAGCAATGAATTATCTGAAAATGAAATTAAGAAAACATTTCCATCTATCATAGCATCAAAAAGAATACTTAGGAAGAAAATTTAATAAAGTGCAAGACTTCTACACTGAAAATAGTAAAACATTGTTCAAAAAAATTGAACAAGATCTAAAAAAATAAATGGAGAGACACATAGATCAAAGGACTTTATATAGTGAAGATGACAATATTTCCCAAATTGATCTATAGATTTAATGTGATCTCTATCAAAATCCCAGCTGCCCCCACCCACCCACCTTTTTGTAGAAATTGACAAGCTGATCCTAAAATTCATATGTAAATGTAAGGAACCCAGAATAACTGAAACAATCTTGAAAAGTAAAATAAAGTTGGAGGACTCACATTTCCTGATCTCGAACTTACTACAAAACTATAGTAACCAACATAGTGTGGTATTGGCGTAAGACAGACATATAACTCAATGGAATAGAAATGAGAATCCAGAAATAAATGTTTACATTATAATAAATTGATTTTTGAAAAGGATGCCAAGATAATAAAATGGGAGAAAAAAATAAAATAATCTTTTCAACAAGTGGTGGTAGGCCATCTGGATATTCACATGCAAAACAATCAAGTCCACCCCCTGCCTCATACCATATACAAAAATTACTTCGAAATGAATCAAACCTAAATGTAAGAGCTAAACTATACAACAGGAGTAAATATTTGAGACCTTGGACTAGGCAATGGTTTCTTAGATACACTACCAAAAGCACAAGTGACAAAAGAAAAAATAGACATCCTGGACTTCATCAAAATTAAGACTCAAATGCTACAAATGATGTAATCAAAAAACTGAAAAGACAATTTGTAGAATGGGAGAAAAATTTTGCAAATCATATAATGAGAAGGGACTAGCATCTGGAATATAAAAAGAACTCTTATAATTCAATAGTGAAAAGATAAATAACCCAACTTTAAAATGGACAAAGGGTTGAGTGGACATTTCTCCAGAGAAGACATAAAAATGATCAGTAAGCACTGGAAAGATGCTCAACATCATTTGCCATCATGGACATGCAAATCAAAACCACAATGACATGTCACTTCATGCTCTCTGGGATGAAGAAAAGATGACAGTAAGAAGTTTGGGGGAGAATATGGAGAAACTGGAACCCTCATTCACTGCTGGAGAAAATGTGAAATGGTGCAGCTGCTTTGGAAAACGGTTTGGCAGTTCCTCAAAATGTCATGCATAGAGTTACCATACGATCCAGCGATTCCACTCCTAGGTATATACCCAAGTGAAATGAAAACATATGTCCACCCACAAACTTGTATGCAAACATTCATAGCAGGATTATTAACAACAGTCTAAAAAGTAGAAACAACCTAAATGTCTACCAACTGATGAGTGGATGAATAAAATATGGTATAGCCACAGTGAAATATTTGGCACTGAAAAGGAAGCATATATTACATGCTATGGCATGGATGAACCCAGAAAATATGCTAAGTGAAGGAAGCCAGTCACAAAGGATCACATGTTGCATGATTCCATTTATATGAAACAGCCTCAACAGACAAATCTATAGATTCAGAAGGTAGATTAGTGGTTGCCTAGGACTAGAGGGTAGGATGCAATTGGGGAGTGATTTCTATGGGCATGCTTAGATAGGCATGGGGTTTCTTTTGTGGTGATAACAAATGTTCTAAAATTATATTGTGGTTATGGTTGCACAACTCTGTGAGCATACTAAAAACCATTGAACTCTATACTTTAAGTGGGTGAACTGTATGGTGTGCGAAATTATATCTCAATAAATCTCTGTCTAAAAAACAGGAAGGAGTGAGCAACAACAAAAGAGTGTGCTGAATGTTTTGATTGGGAAAGGTTGACACGTGAGTAAATAATATGGGAACCCAACTGGGCTAAGACATGAAGGAGCATGAGTTTGGTGACTGACACCCAGGGCAGGGAAGACAGCAAGGTCAGAGACCTGAGGCTGGCAAAGGCATGGGAAATAGAAGGAAATGAAGGTATGCTGGCATGGTGGGAGCAGAGAGCGGGAAGGAGAGGCTCAAGGTGTGGTTAGGTGACTTGGCAGAGGACAGATGATGTAGGCTCTTGCAGTGCACGTTAATGACTCTAGATTTTTCCTGTAGCATGATAGGAAAACATTGAAGGGTTTTAACCCGGAGAATGCAATGACTGGATTTGAACTTTTAAAGGTGTACTCTGGCTGCAGGAAATTGATTTGAGGGATAGGAATGCACAGTCAGACGGGAAGCCAATGCAAAAGTCAAGGAGAGAGATGATGTCTAAGAAATCTAAATTGAAGTAGTTTGAGGGGAGAGTGGGAGGTGAGGACGTGGAGACAATTCGTTCTATGAAGTTTGGCTGTAATGAGGAGGAAAGACATGGAGTTGTAGCTGGAAGGGATATGAGATGGAAGAAATGTAAAAGGTACACATGTTTAAATGGGAATTGGAAGGCTCCAGAAGACAGATTTATATTCAGAAGACAGAGGAGAGAATCCACGTAATCAGATGAAGGTAGAAGGGAATGAGATACAGAATACCCTGGAGGGATATCCCCTCTAACATAAGAGGAGGAAGGGAGGATATGATTACAGAGAAAGCTGGGTTTGCAGATTTGGAGGCAGAACTTCCTCATCCTCCTGCCTTCAATTTTGCAAAGCAACTCATGAGCCGAGAGTGAGTGGATCTGCTTTAACAATGTGCTGTCAGGGGGGTGACTAGTGAGGGAGCCCTCTTAGGGGTGATGAGAGGCGTTCACGAAGGAAACTGAAATGTGCATAACCACGCATCTGATATTATACTTCCTTCTTACACAATCTTCAAATGAGGAAGGCTGGAAACAGGAGTTAAAGGAGAATTGGAATCCTGAATGGAGAAAAGATAGAAAGCATCCATCTATTTCAGAAGTTCAAACCTTTCAGCCCTGTGTGTTGAATAAACTTATAGATACAATTGAAGAATCATTCTTGATATTAGAAATCATGCAGATTGGAGTAAGCACAATAAAATTGGAAATGATCAAATGTCCTATTTTTAAAGAAGAGTTAGAGAAGAATTCAATAAAATATAGTTGAAGGACATTAACTATGATCTCTGTTAATTTGTAATTAGGAAACATCAGTGTTTATCAGGAAATATTTATGCTAAAATATTATTTCTTTATGGGGACAGTGTCTGTTTCTTGATTTCAAGGTACATGATTGGGAAATTAATACTATTTATAAAAATAATAGATTTCAGAGGATATGGATCACAGGTCTGCCACATGGAGAACTGTATACTTCAGAGGGACATTGGCCTACAGAGAACGGTCACCAGGAGGTCCCAGATGAAAATCAGCAGGAGTAACTAAAGAAGAGAGGCTTTGGGCAAGGCAGCAAAGGTATCCTCAAGTATTCAAAGGCCTGCCCTGTCCAGTCTTTTTACTATAGTGGTCCAGAGAGTACAGCTAGGAGCATAGGTAGAAAGTTCCAGGAAAGTAGACCATTGCTTCTAGATAAAGAATAGCTAAGACCTACGGATGTCCAACAATGGGGAAGCACAAAATATTGAGCTCCCCAGTCCTAGAGCATTCTAGAAGACTCTGTCTGGGCTTCTGCTATAGCAGGGTAGGGGACTATGTAACTCTAGGGTCTGTTCCATGAAAATAAATGTAGAGGCAGTGACATGGGTGTTAATTCTCCAGCACTCACGCTAGAGGTGTGAACACTGATGCCTAGAGGTGTGAACACTGATGGCTACAGCTGTTGTCGTCTGGCTGAAGCTGCCCAGTGAGGCAATGGTAGGGCTGGAACCGACTCTCCCCAAGACCTATTCCTATCGCTCCACACCATTCTGTTCCCACCATTTCTACAGCCTTTCCTGTGTTTCTTTGGAACTTCAATTAAGAATTCTAAATCCCTCATTCATGACTTTCAAGCCACACCTTTCCATAAACATCTACCGGTCTACATGGCCTGGCTGATGTCTGCAGCACTGGCCTTGAAACTCAAGGGCCCTGAGCAGCTGGCCCTTGGATTACAGATGAGGCCTCCATAATCCCAGGGAAAGAGTCCCATGTCGCTTCCTGGAGAAAGGGAATCGTGCTCCCAGGAGGAGGTGATTCTGAAGCCACAGGCCTTACCTGAACCGTGGGGTCGGCTCTACGTCCTGCCTCAGTTGTACATGACCAGGTTCATCCACTGAAAAATAAGCACCATCATTACAACCAATCCTTCATATGTGTTAGCTCAACAGAGAGCAAGGCAAGTGCCACCCTCCCTCAGTCAAATAGCCCCTCTCCAGCTAATTGCAACCAAGCAGGAGGTCTCAGCCCCTTGTCTCCCCACATCTGCTGCTCCCCGAGCAGCCACAGCGAGGGGTAGCGGAGGCCGACATGCTGGCTGGTCAGGAGGCTCTAAAACCCGGTGGGAGTCAGTTTAATGCACAGAGAGCTCCGTGGCTGTTCTTCAGTTCCCTCCTGGATTTATGACTCCCACATAATCCTCTGCTTTATTAAGCTATTGGAAAAAAATAAAATCTGTCTGCCAAGATCCTAAAGCAGCCTGGCAGCCAGCGATATATAAGGCAGTAATTGGAGTCAGGGGTGGAGGCGGGTAGCAGCTTGGCCAGCCTCTGACGGACTGTTCGATGCCCTCGGGGAGAAAAATGCCCCTTGGATTCAGGTCAGGAGAGGCGGCCTGAGACTGTGCCTGTGCCGGGGAGGGGACAGTACCTACCTCCTTCTCTGTCAGGTAGAGTCCTTTTCCATCCTTGGAGAGGTTACGGAAAGTCTCTAGGGCCAAGAAGGAAAGGTCTGACTGACTGAGGAGGAAATCCGGGCAGGTGAGGGGAGGCGGGCCGGGCCCACAAGGAGCTGATGTGGGGATTCTGTGCAAAGCAGCCCCTCGCTCCACTCAGAGTGCACCCCCCTCCCGTCCTCATCCCTCTGCAGCCAAGCTCGCCCCTGGGCAGCTCAGGTGCACCTCCTCAGCACAGCGCCTGGGACCTCCGCCACACGCCCACCCTCCTCCATCCAGCTCCTTGCACTTTGCACCCCCGCACTTGGCCCTGGGGGTGTGTGGGCTTGCCTTTCTTTCACAGGCACAATTTGGGGGCCTCCCCTGTCGAACGGAGAACTCTCTGGGGGGCAAGGCTTGCGCCTCGGGTTTTCTCTCCCCTCCCAGGGCTCCAGGCTGTCAAGCTTCTTGCACAGCTCAGAGCTGTGGGGTTTTCAGAGCCTCACAGCAGGTGGTGAGGACCGCATGGGTCTGGCCTTTGCTCTACCACAACCGCAGCTGCGCCATCTTGCGCTTTGTTAAGGCCTGGGCTTGCACACATGATTTCATTTAAAACAGAGGGTTATGCTGCTAGAAAGTGTGAAAACCTCTGGCCTACACAGTGGATTTCTGCACCCCGGGGAGAGGCCTCCTGCCCACACCTATTCACTTGTGCGTGGAATTCCTTCAGAGATTCACATCCTCCATGGCACAACTAAAGAGTAGGTTTCAATCATAAACAACCCAGAGAGGGGCAGCGTGATTTAGATTAACCGTGTTCCTGAGAGAGGAGCTGACAGGGGAACGTGCTGGGGAGAAGCGTGCAGAGGGAGCCACCGACATTACTGGCAGCCTCGGCTGGCTCTGTCCCGTGGGAGCAAGGGCACCTCATGCAGGACACCAACCCACACCGCTGTGAAGGCCTTGCCCAGGCCTGGGGCAGGAGTCAGCTCCTGGTCCTCTCCTGTGCTCTCTGGCCACTGCGAAGTTCTCCCAGGCGTCCCCCAGTGACACTTACTTGCCATGGCTTCCAGCCGCATCAGGAAGCAGACCAGGCTGGGGAAGCTGACCCTGTGGGCCCTGTTGCTGTACCGGAGGGTCATGAGACCCAGCAGCTCATCGCTGATGGAGATCCCTGCAAGGAAGTCTGGGGCCACAGGGCGAGCATGTGAGCAGCGAGGCGGCTGTGGGCGGGGCTGGTCCTCTGGCTTGCCAGGTTTGAGAGATGTGTTCAGAGGGCCTGCAGCCTTCCACCAATTCCTACTCAGCCTGGCTTGGCAGCGGGTCCCCCTCACTGCAGTGTCTTCTCTTTTTTGTTGCCTGCTGGGCCCCAGGGACATAGTTCTGCAGTTTGGCCAGAGACCAACTCGTGCTCAAGAGACACTGTCTTGGGGACACGTCAGCCTTCACAATCATCTAATAATTCCCATGTAGTGTGGGAGCTGTCAGGATACCTGGGATTTGCTTCCAGCCCTGACTCTGCCAGGCATCTCTCTGCTGGTGACCTGGTGAAACAACCTTCCTCCCCTAGCCCTGACTCTGTGGATGCTGCCAGTGTGGGTAGGTGTGGTCCCTGGAAGAAGAGCACACCTAAGTCAGCCATCCAGGGAAAAGGCTGGTCTTCAGAGACCAGAACTCAGAAGGTGGCATCACGTGGGCAGGAGATAGGCACTTTGTCATCTTCCTTGTCTATTCATAAGCTCCAAGGAGGCACCAACCACGCAGGGGCCAAGTGCAGACTGGCACAGTCAGGCCTGCAAGCCCTGGGGAGCATGCAGAACCTTGTAAGCCAAACCATCCCTCAAGGGACAAGCCTGGTGGCCTGTGGGCCCCAGGCAGCCAGAGTCACATTTGGTTTCTCCAGCAGAGTTAAGAAAGCGTGAATTTAAATGCTTTTAGACAGGGCATGCACTCTCCAGCTTGCCATATTCTCAAATCCCCCATTTCCTTCCTGTTAGCTGCACTGCCCTTTAAGTTACCTGCCTGGCTTCTGGAGGCTTTTGAGTTGAATTTGAACTAGTCTCTATTTTTCTCCCTTTTATTATTCTGGTGTCATGAGTGAGGTCTCCTTTAAAGATGTCTTCTTTAACTGGCCCTGCAGTGGCTGTCAAAGTGTGGTCCCCAAACCAGGGCATGCACAACAGCTGGGAGCCAGCTGGAAATGCAAATTCTTGAGCACCCCCCCAGACCTTCTGAATCAGAAATGCTGAAGTGGGGCTCGGCAATCTGTGTTTTAACAAGCCCTGCAGGGGATGCTGATGCACACTCAGGTTTGTGAACCCAGCTCTACCTTACGAAGAATTACAGAGGAGGATATATGTTACAGGAGAGCAGGGGTACAGCAGCCTGGTCTTCCCCCGCCCCCAGGCTAGGAGCCCTGGAGGGAGAATTATGGAGACTTTCCTTCTGGTGTTAACCCGGGGGAAACTGACTTTACATTTTATTAAGGTTGGTGGCCATTTCCTTGCATAATCTTTTTATGATTATTCTCCCTATCAGCCGCAATGGAGATAATGATCCCTGCCCTTCCCAGTTTGCAGGTAGTAGAGATGGTCGAATGAGAGGATGCCAGTAGAAGCGCTCGGTGAACCATGAAGCACTCATGCACCCTAAGGTATTATTATCATTATCCCAGGACGGAAAGCTTTTGCCTCCTTGAAGCAGACAGATGCGTTTGATTGGATTTAGCCCAAACCCTCTGTGAAGAGAGCTCACCAGCCTGCCCGTGGGTATTTAACCCTGATGGCCCAGACACTGAGCTGGAGCGTCCCTGAGGCAGCTCGATTCCTGGAAGGGCGGCAATCCTGCAGGGCTATTTTCTCACGGTGAGAGCTGTGCTGGGGAAAAGGCAGCTGGGGAGATTGGCTGGTGTAGGAGAACTCAGGCAGGGAAACCATGTCTGAGGCCAGAGCCCTGGAGGCCCAAGGGCAGTGTGACCCAGCGGGGGACGCAAGCGCTGCACTCTCCCCTCTCCTGACTGCGTGGCATTGCCAGGCCTGCCTGGCCTGCAGCGTGCTGAGGGTGTGGACACCCCACCCACCCCACGGCCCCCACCACCCCAGCTCAGAGGGCACCCGCTCTACCTGTATTCGCTACGGCTGTCCCCAAGTCTGAGCTCAGGAGGACTCCAAGGCTCTTCTGGGTGTTCTGGAAAACACGCTGATGTGGGAAAAGCAGCAAGAAGTCCATGTGAGGACCTGGAGGACATCCTGGATAGCAGGGGGTCCCGGGGTGGGCATGAGTTTATAGGGAGTAATGAGGAGTCTCATTTGGGATCTGAAGGAGAGATTGGAATGAGGGGGCTTCTCCTGGACCCCAAATAGGGGCCAACTCAGAGGGTCTCATGTGCTGCTCTAATGGTTCAGACTTTGTCCTAAGAGCAACGGGGAGGCCACACAAGGCCCCAGACCACATCTGTTTGGACAGATCCTCTGGCGGATGGATTGCAAGGACATGAGGGGGGCTAGAGGGCTGGGGGTGTGCAGTGGGGAGGAGGAAAATGCTAGCTGGCAGCTTTAGCTACAGTCCCTAGGGATGTCCTCCTCCCCCAACTTCCACAGCACCCCTCCTCCTGCCCCTGATCAGGCAGCACCTTGCACCCTCTCGTGCTGCATGTCAGTCTCCCCAAACAAAATGTTAGCGCTCCTGGAGGGCAGGGGTGAGGTTTCCTCTCCTTTCATACCCCTCAGTCCTGACACAGGGTAGGACACCCAGTAAATATTTGCTAAACTGGATGGAATAAGAGCAATAGTCACGGAAAGCACGCCCATACCTGGCAGGTGACAAGGCGCCTCCATAGTCTCGTGAAATCCTCTTGGTTGAGCCGCCCATTCACTTGCAGCTGGATGGGGAGTTAAGAGTTAACCAGCCTGCATGCAATGAGCAGAGGGGCCCCAGGTCCTGCCAGCAAAGCCCGAGCAGCTCCATCCATCACTAGTAACACAGTTGGTCCAGCACCACCTAGATGTGGCCCCACTCCAGCTGTCTCCCGCGCGTCTGAAAGGAACCTGGCTCAGATTTGTTTCACAATGAAAAATGGACAATTGGAAGAGGAAGCCCTGAGAAAAAGAGGCCAATGTCACTTGCATCAGGGGGAAGAGAGTGAGCCCAGGACATAGCCTTACCAGTCAGAGGGGGTTCTCTGGCAGGGGAGATTGAGGAGGGGCAGGAGGGGTCATTGCAACTCCGGAAGCAGCAGCTGCAGGTAAGCGTGTGAGCCCCACGTGCACGTGTGCAGAGGGAATGCTTTCTGTGTCCATATTAAAGCCAGACCTGGCCACTCCCTCCAGTGGTTCAGTGACGAGCAAGGAGGGGAAGAGCGCTGACCTCTGAGAACTGGAAGGGGAGCCGGTGGGTGGGTAGGAGGAAGGCTAGGAACGGCCCATCCATTTTGCAGGGGTCCAGCAACATGACCTCCCTTGGGCCATGGGGCTGCGTGGACCGTGTGTGTTCCTCTGTGGGAGATGGGCAGTGTCTCTGAGTGATCCAAACCACAGCCAACAGAGACAGGGCCTGACTTATGATTCCATCAAAAAGCCCCCTTGTTCTACAGTGGCTGGCTTTCCAGTCCCAATCGAGCCTCCCTGGCAGTGCGGGAGAGCGGACTCATCTGTCTCTCTCAGGAGACAGTTCACGGCCCAGCGAGGGGCTGGCCAGCAACAGCTGGGGCATGCACATGTGGAGGCAGCCTCTCCTGCCTGCTGGGACCGGGGGCTCTCTGGGGGTGAAATCAGGACAGTCAGGAGCCCAGGGTCAGGTTCATGTTCCTGCCACTTGTCACCATTGACCTGGGGCGAGTCACTGACTGACGTCCACCCAGCCACCACCTCTGCACACGCAGTGCAGTCGTGGTCAGGAGATGCACGTGCTGTGCCGACCAGGGAGTGGTCTATGTGTTTTGGTCATTTTTATCTTTATTGAGTTGGGGCCTTGTTAAGAAATTTAAATCGTGGTGACTCCTCCAGTGGTAAGGGGAGGGCTAGGAGGGAGAATGGCCCCCACAGGTGCTCTAAGGAGGCAGCACAGGATAAGGTCAGAACGTGGACTTCGGGGGCTAAAAATCCCAACTTCAAATCTGGGCCCAAGTCCTGACTAGCTGCGTGATCTGGGCAAATTAACATCTCTGAACCCCTGTTCCTTTCATTGTATGATGAGATAATACTTCCTATATCACAGAGTTGTTGCAAGAACTACAAGAAAAAAAAATACATATATATGTATATATATAAGCCAGTACAATTCTCAGCACACAGTAGATACTTGCTCGATGGGGACTATTGTCGTGTTGCTGTGGTTGGCCTGCAGAGTTAGTGAGTTAGTAGCGAATCCATGGAAACTCAGGGCCAAGACGGAGAGAAACTACTGAGAGTGAGAAAGGTTCCCTGCTGTCCCGACTGGACCCCTGGGGAGAGGGGCCGTCAGAGAGAGGGAGGGACGACTGCAAAGGATACGTCCATCAGGGCCAGGATGCTGCGGCACTCGTCCAAGGAGAACGTGTCCCCGGGGGGTCCTGAGGAGGGAAGGCCAGGAGGGACTGACGTGTTTCGAGGCAGGTGCCAGAGGGGATGAGGATGGGCGAGCAGGCCCTGGGGCTGCTCCTACCTGTCAGGAATTCCTGGTTGAGCAGGCTCTGGAGCTGGGTGGCATCTATGTCCAGCCCCTGATCCAAGCAAGGGAGGAAGCATTTCAGTACCAGGACCCAAGAGGCACGTCCACCTGGCCCGGTCTGTAAAAGCACTAAGTTTCTGAGCACTTAGCTCCCACCATGTGCCCATCTCACCTTTGTCATGAAGCCTCCCCTGACGGCTCCCAGCCGTGGTGGTCACTCCCTCCCCTGAGCATCTGCAGTGTTGGCCACGATGCTAGCACCCGGCGTCAGGCACCCTGCATTTCTCTCTGCATTCATTATAGGACTGAACGCCGTGTGTCCTCCTCCCCGCCGTCCCCGCACGTGGGAGCCCCCCAGGAAAGGTATCGAATGACTCAATTCAGCCCGTTGGGTGTTTTCCCCATCTGTTTCCAGAAAGAGACTGACTGAAATGTGACTACCGTGTCTGTGTGTGTGCACGTGTGATAAAAGAAGTTAAAAATACCAGAAACGTGGGCTAAGAGAAGCTGCTCTAACTGAACACATTACTTAGCACTAGTCTTCCCAGCCACTGAAGTGCAAAAGGGAGATGTCATATTTTCCTTAGACTAAGAGCAGGAAGCAATTGAGGTTGAGGGGAAGGAGAAATTTTTCTGGTCTCAACTTCCGGAGGAATTAACTGCATTCTACTTTATACTGGGGACATTGGACAGCTTGACAGGCAGCATCAGAGACGCCGAGTGTTCTACATGCGGCCGTTCCTCACATTCAGCCTGGGAAGGGCTGAGGGGATGGTGTGCCGCTGTCATGCTGGGGACGCCTTTTCACGGGAGCTGGCGCTGGAGTGAGGTTTCTCAGCAGGACATTGCAGAGAGGCACTGGTCAGGTGGAAGAAGGTGCCTCCTGGGGGTCTTCCGAGACCTGGTACCTCACAGATGACAGACGCGATGCCCCTCCACCTCCCAGGGCTGAGAGCACAAACAGCTGTGCAGCCCTTATGGGGTTCTTCGCCACGAGGATGAGCCCTCAGGATTCTCCCTGAGCAAAACCTCCTGCCCCTGTCTGAAATTGGTCCTCAGGCCATTTCTGCAACACCTCACTTTTGGTTATGTCAGGAAAGTTGGTGTTGTGTACCCACCATTAACGGAGTTGCTCTTCAAAAGCATCATGTCACCTCCATTTGGACAGCAGTTGACGTGCTAATGGGGAATCCTCCACTAGATCATAAGCAGCTCTGGGGTGTGGGCCATGCCTTCTTCCCTCTCTGCATCCCCACGCTAGCACAGAGCCTGACTTGGACCCTACACTCCATAACCGACCAAAAGTGTTTAAGGAGGTGAGGCTAGGAATGGAGATGAGGATTTCTTAAAGTCCCAAGGATTTGCATGTTTGCCTCTCCCACCAAAAGGTAAGTCACCCGAGCGCTGTGCTTCGGTATGCCCAAAGCTTGGAGTGACACTTGGGATGTCGTAGGTACTTGGCAAATGCCTGCCAGTGGAATTAACAACAGCTAGATGGATGACCTGGCCCAGCCCAGGGTCCAAGTGTACCCTGCCTTTCCCACGGGCAGACCCTGGGTAGCAGTGCCATCACCTCTAGCATGATAATAAAGGGAACAGTGGTAGTGGTAGTAGCAAGTTGTTGTAGTAGTTTAAAGCTAGTTAAAGCTACATAAGAGATCAGGAGAGAGGACAGAGTGAGTGCATGGATTAATATTTTGCTTTATACTTTCTTTGAAGGACACAGTCTCTGAGGATAGTTTGCAGGTTGTGCGGAATAAAGCCAGGTGGGCCCTCCCTGCTCAAGGGTGCCCAGCTGAGGGGTGAGATGGGGCTGGAATCCACCCTCTGTTCTAGCCATGTACCTTGGCATGATGCTGCATCTGGGTTTTATTCTAATTCCCACAAAGGCCCCGCAGGGGCTGCCAGCCACTCTCTATGAGGAGGCATTTGGTTGCTGTTCGGAAAAATCTTGACTAAGGAATCTGTCTCATCATATGACAAATTTTGTTTTTATCTTAAAGGTGCAGGTGCATGGACCATGTGTGAGAATTTGCCACCTGCCCCTGAAGGAAGCTCAGTCTCAGGCATCCTAATCAGGCCATGCTAACCATGTCGGGACAGCTAACCTTAGCTTGGGCATCTGCTCTGGGGGAGCTAATCTGTCTTAACTCGATTCAAGGGAAATGATTGAGCACCTCCCCTGTGCCAAGGACAGGGATCAGTGGTGGGGACGAGGAGTGCATATGATACCATCCCTGCCTTCAGGAGCCCACAGACTGAGGACATCATCCTGGCTGGCCTTGTCATGCATCATGTGAAGTGCCTTCGGAACCAGCCCAGATGGCGGCCTGAATCCTGGGCTGATACTGAATTCACAGAGGTTCATGTTCCACTGCTCTTTGCAGTACATGCCCCTCACTCCAGCCACATTCTTTGGTTTTCATTTTTGTTCTCCTCTTGGGCCCAGGCTGCCTCTGGGTTACCACCACCCTGTTAGCCCTCTGAACACAGAGGCAGGGCCTGGCATCCTTCCTGCCCTTGGCCTCTGCCTGGCTCAAGCCGGCATGGTACCCGTGGTCATCGGCATCACTTTCTGCTTCTCACACCAACGTGATTATTTTTTTTTTTTTTATTTCAGCAAATTATGGGTGTACATACGTTTAGGTTACGTGTGTTGCCCTTGGTTCCCCCCCCACCGAAGTCCGTGTTTCAAATATGTCCATCCTTCGGGTAGTGCGCATTGCACTCCTTG